CAATTTCCGGGGGGGGGGGGGGGGCGGACACTGTCGAAAGTATATATTTTCTATATAAATTCCATTTTGTTCGGGGGGGGGGGGGCGGTGAAAGAGATGCCTAGAAGAAACTCTGCCTGGAAGAAACTTTGTTCTTGTATTTGTTCTCTCTGAAATTGATTAAACCATCATAAAGAAGTCGCATCCCACCTTGCCGAGCTTTGACTTACGTTGGTATTGTTTTCTGTACTATTGTCATCGTGGATTTTGGGGCAAATCGCTTAAAGTTTGTCAATATTAGTGAATGAGGCTGACCAGGCGAAATTTTGTTTTTCTCTGGGTCACGAGTAACTTTTCTTCGTCAGATTCTTGTATCTTACCTTGCACCTGAGTGGATGTACTTGAGAAAGTTGGCATTGGAGTAACTCAGTCTTTTAGAGCGGCATATAGATTGCGGGGGTGAACATGTACAACACTATTTTAGTTAACGAGTAATATACTTGACGTGTAACTAACTAGTATCTACTTATAAAGTTCATGAAGTCTAGATCGGTGTTAGAGCCAGAAAGTATTTTATTACCGGTTTACTAACAAACATTAGGGTACTCGTGTAAATTCCCTAAATCTGACATCCTCACCTACTTCTGTAATAAAGGTGATCCACCTCCTCCAAGCAAAAGTTTGAAATTAATCTGATTAATCCTGTCATAAATGAAGCTCTCGTTGTTCATGAAGCGCCGTAACTATCACCCCTTTCTGATATTAGACACTTGCCCTAACCCCCCCCCCCCCCCCATAAACCTCTCGTACATAAAAACCACACTGGTATATTAATCCTTTGCTTTTTATTAAGCACCTGTCAGTGTCATCAAGCCATACATATCTTGCAACATATTACAGCTCAATTAGCTGTACAAATCCATGTAGTACTTTCAAGCCTATTTACTAGTGATTGAGACATTGTCGCCTGTGCTGGTATCCTACATTTTGAAAAGCTTGTCAGTGGGATATATATACACTTTGCTACAGAGGCGTAGCAGCGAGGGCGTGGAGTGCGAACTAGCGACGTCACTGCTTTGCTATACTTTAATGTATGTGTTAACTATATATATGAAGATTGATAATGTGCATAATTATTATTTTTTTTAACCTTCCAATACAGATGCATAAAAATATGCAATTCTCTTGAATTACTTTTACTAATACTAGTGTAAATCATAGTAAATGCTAGACATGTTTACTTCACTGTGAGATGAATGCCCTTCCCCCCTCCCACTACAAGAAAATTACAGGTACACAAACTGGCTACTTAAATTTATACTGTAACATGACATTGAACTACACAAAAAAAAAACAACAAGAAGCGATAGTTTACTTGTTTAAAATTTTTATTCACATTAAAAGAATACTTTTGATGCTACAATTAAGTAATAGATCATATAGGTAACAAGTGGACAAGTAAGTAGATAGATAATAAATCAATATTATCAGATTTCAGTATGCTCAATAACTAGACAAAATGGAATCAATACATACAACCTCCACGATAAATAAAAATTTGATGGCAACAGACTATCTCTAATCCACATATTAATCTAACAAGTTTTTAATATTATATGACTGTGTGTAACTAGACCTTAGTTTCACACACAAACATAAATATATGTATATATATATATATATATATATATATATATATATATACATACACATGTTTATAAACAAATACTGCGTAGCAGAATATCTCTACATGAAAGCCAACCTAGTGAAAAAATTGAATCTGCACATTCAATCGCTAAGAAATTCAGCAATATTATCCAACACCTCTACAAAGACTCCAACTGCTAGATTATCCACAAGTTAACCAGCCCTTTTTCAGTGAGTACAGAAATGTTATACGCTTTTCACGTATAAAGTACATCAGACCAAAAGGTTGAAATACAGTGGACCCTCACTTAGCTGGAGGTCTAGATATTGAGGATGCTATACTCTCACATTGACAACAACATGCCCAATCCACGCTAAGCAAACTATGATGAACCTTCTTAATATAGGCTTAATGATCAACTGGAAAAAACAGAAGAGATAAGAATCAACAACAAACAGGAGTTCCACTTAGGATACAAGAAATGACTATTTGAGCAAGATCACTTTACACATCTAGGATCTGTTGTAAGATGATGGGGGAGCAGATGAGGACATCAAAAGACATATCAGCAAAGTATCCAACATCCTCCGCACAATATGGATGTCAAGAGCTGTCTACAGTTTTCCAAATATGACTGTTGAACAGCAATGTAAAATTTGTTCTCCTCTATGGTTCTGAGACTTTCAATAATGAATGGCTGTGTAGCAAACTGAACATCAGGTGGCCTGAAAAAATAACCAACTGTGATGTTCTAACATCCATCTTGAAGAGACGCCTTAACCCTCAGGCTGGTAAATCCTGGGAAACAAAAAATACACATTTTGTAAAAAAATAAAGACAACTGTTTAATCTTTAAAGAGACGCCCTCCACCAGTTGCTGTTATGGTGACATATTAAAACTGGAATATCTTGAGTGTGGAAATTGTACTAAAATAAAGATTGTCTACAAAGGTCTACCCTTTTATTTCAAACATTTGTTTGACAATGTGGCTTTGGCAAACATGCTGACTGATATAGCACAAATTTTGAATTAACAGTAAGATATCTGAGTTTTTTACATTTAGAATCAATAGTGCCCACATATTAGTTCATGTATGAAAATATCTTTTTTAGTTTAGTTCAACTCATATATAGCCCTACTAAATATTAAAATAAAATAGCATCAAAAATTTTTTTTAGTTACCAGTTATACTATGATAGCACCTTCCAGCAAGATTTGACTGTTTTATTAATCCAGGTTCGCTGCAGACAAACAAAATGTTTTGGTTAACAAATTGAAAATATCTGTATCACATCACTTAAGTTTATTTAGCCTGCCGGTCCATGGGGCAAGTGCAATAGAGATAAGCTGTTTCTGTGACTTCAGCATATGAAGGGATAGTGTGGTCAGCACCATGCCCAGTCTCCTTTACTTTTCCTAACGTGAGTTAGGTACCTATCAGAGCAGCTGGGTGGACTCAGGGAAGTTCTGCTGACTTGAATCCAGATTCAAACTTGAGACTTTGGGTTATACAGTCTTGCTCCATAGCTAAGCCACACCATCACCTTACATAATTTGCTTTAAATCAAATGTTTGCACCCCACTTCTCATTGGGAAGTACATTGCAGTACAGTTGGTGCTTGTTTAGTGTAACCTTAAATTCACAATGATAAATAAACAAATGATTTATAAAATATAACTATATACAAATAATACAGTGTATGTGAGTAGCAGAACATTGGAAAACTAACCTGATAGTCTCAAGTTCTAATAATGGGCTCTAGTAACTGGTTGGGAAAATAAAGGTGGCTGAGCATTGTATTGAACTTGACTACACTATCCCTTCCTATGCCAAAGTCAGATCTCTCCATCTGTCCCATGGACCTGAAAGGAAGCTTACATGTACAAATAAAAAAAAATTAACAAAATACAATCACAACAGTTCAGCTCTACATAATGGTTTTTAATTTATCATTCAGCTTTATTATTCAGTGTTACATTTTTTACTGTTATAATGCAATTAGTTTACCAACAAAAATCTGTACAATAAATTTCACCTTTAATTAAATCAGATTGGAAATTCTTTCATATTTACAATCATACCTGGTTTGTTTCAACCTATCACAGCACTTGGTTTTATTTTTTACTGTAATCATAAACCCATAAGCACAAAACACCTGCAAAAAAAATGACAAGATCAGTTTACTTTATTATACTACAGTATAAATGGTACTTAAAAGTGATACTAATAATATTACTAATATCTTAATTTAGTTTACACTCTTAAATGGAATACTTAATATTAAGAATGTAGCATAGTCCTCCACCCCACAGAAGTCATATAAAGGGATCTGAACAATTAACTCTTAAAGTAACATACATGGTAGTACTCTAGCCACTTGAATACAGAGGGTTGTAAATCAGTTGATTGCAGTGTTCTAGAACATTGTTGGTATCTTTGTCCCTGTGTCTGTCTTATTCCTGTCTCCATGTTGAGAGAACCTGAAGATTAAAGTTTTGAAATTAGTAAAAATTTAAATAAAGTGCTTACGTCTAAGGCCCAATGGCATAGCTAGATCGGGCGTCACCCAAGTAACGAGGTTTATCTTTAGTCTGTTAATAATACAGTTGGAACTTTACGACATGGTATCACCCCCACCCTCTGGTAATAATTGTCAATTTGTACTTAAAAGACTATTTAACTTTAATTAATCATTAATGGGACTGGCAAAACATTTTTCTTCTGTATATTTTGCAATTTTTTGCCTTGATGTCACCCCCTTAATTAAAAGGCTTAAATTGATAAATAATAGTGTCATCTGGTGCAGTCTGCACCCTCAACCCGTGCTATGCCAGCTAAGGCAAGGGTTATCAATAAAATGTTATAAATAAAAAAAAAATATTAATAAATTAATAATAAGCCTAATTAGGTAATTATTAGTAATTAATTATTAATAATGTAATATTAATTTTATAATTATTAATTAATAATTAATAATAAAATACGCTCAACTGGAGGTGAACGTGAAACGGGGAATAAAATACGTTAAAATAGAGTTTTACCCCTTATAGATGTAGATCTAATTATTGTGTAATTCACTAATCAGTGCCAAGATCTATTTTATTTTCTACAAAAAGATCTTGATATATTATTTCCCACCAAATCGATTAATTATGTTTTCTGTTGGATCTTGTTTCGGTATCGTAAATTATTTAAGTAAAATAAACAACGATCTTAGCTGTTCGATTACTTTAAAATATTTCAGCGGGATTTTCGACAGTACGGCCAAGTTTAAAATATCTGTACTTTCGTTTCGACACTACGGGCTAATCCCGAGTATTTAGAGGGGGAAAAAATCTTCGATCGGAAATTCACGTTTATCGAGAATTTACACGAGATGTCCGCCAAAATGGCGTCATTTGAAGGGTTGTAAACAAACAGTTGAAATACAAGATTCAAAATACATTCGAATCTATATCTAGAATCTATAAGGATTCTATAACTATAAAGTATTATTATTATTTACTTAGAATTTGAAAAGATGCTATTATTAGCAATGTTTAGATCTATTAGTTAAACTGTTTACGGCTGCAAATTACTCAGCTTTACTCAACTTTAAAAACTGGTTCTTCTTGAAATTGAAGGTAAGCCCACTGCCACACTCTGTGACACTCATAACTGGGTAATCTAATAAATAAATTAACCTAGGCCCTAGGCCTAATTGTTTTAGTTTTAGTAAATTCAGCCGATGCTAGAAATGTAATGAAGAAGAAACGGTAATCTATCGTTTTGGGTACGTAAAATCGCCCGCGGCTATTTATGTACGAAAACGTTACCTCATTGTCAAGGCTTTAATAGAAGTAAATTGTCATACTTTTGTGTCAAATATTATAGATAAATGAATAATAAACCAAAATCAATGGCTAAATATATCGATATAGGCCAGAAATTAACTTTAAGCAGCAGTGTCTTAGAGCAAGATTTGCTATATATTACTATATAAACAGCAGCCATTTGTAAAATAGAGTGGCTTCCCCCTGAATCTGGCGCTAAAAGCTTATAAAAATAAACTTAGACAAGATGGCTGCTATAGTAAATGAGCATGGTTGCATCTGTTGGAAACATCGCTGGTGTATATTTATTACTGAAAAGTTTTAATTCAATTGTTTAAAAACAGGTACATAAATGAATCAAGGAAACATTTTTGAATTTTTTAAAACATAAATCCTCCTCAATATGTGAAATAATTATTAAAATGTAAGGAGTCACCTGTTTTTCACATTACAAGGCGCGGGCGATTTTACGTACCTAAAACGATAGATTACCGAAGAAACTAATGAACAAAGCATTAGGCCTAGGCCCTAACTTATTGCCATTGGTAATCTATTGTCGCCTGCGACTAGTAAACTAGTAATATGAAAAACAGGTAACTCCTTAAATTTTAATAATTATTTCACATTTTGAGGAGGATTTGTTTTGAAAAATGCAAAAATGTTTCCTTGTTTCATTTATGTACCTGTTTTTAAACAATTGAATTAATACTTTTCAGTAATAAATGAAGACTAGATCTAGCTATGTTTCCAACAGATGTAACCATGCTCATTTACTATAGCAGCCATCTTGCCGCAGGCAGTTTTATGTACCTAAAACGATAGATTACCAACTTATCATCTTACTAACTATTATATATTGGAATGGGCCGCCAAAGGAATAAAAATTAGGGCCTATAAAATAAAAAAATATCAGGAATGAACTTTTAACAATGGCAGGCATTTTAATGATAATATTAAAGTGATTTATTAATTGTTATGGCAGGATACAGATCCACTCCTCAAACGTCAAATTTTAGGGTCAATTTTCATCAATGTTCAAAGTAAAAAATATTGACATATTATAGGCCTGTAACAGTTTAGTTGCTTAACAAGTGAGGTATTCAATAATATAAAAAATTAATAGCGCTAGACATTTACATCACGTTCAAAATGTAGATTAACCCACTCACTCACACTCAACTTTTTTTCAGATCTCAAAATGTAGTGAGGTCTAAAAATCTACAAAATTCACAATATCATCAGCATAATTACACTGAAGTGTCACCAAAGTATATATTTATTTATAATATGTCAAACTTTACAAAATATACCAGTTTCTAGCTTATTTCTTGAAAACAAAACAACCACTCTTTCCTTAAAAAATTTTAGAAACACTTTAGTGCCAAAAAATATTACAGAGTAAAACATAAGTAAAATTATGAACCAATTTTTACTATAGTTGCAGCATTTACATGGCTAAGTCACATATTTTCTGGCACAGAATAGATTATCATCAATTATTTTTTAAAATTACACTTTTTTCTTTTTCAGCAGATATAAGTTTGGCATTACCTATGAACTTGATGACAGTGAAGTATGTCTACATCTTCAGCTAAAGGATGGTCTTATCTTCAGGAAAAGCAAGGTATGTGAATAACATTGAAACACTTTGATGATTGTGTACAAAGTCACTCCTTGTAAATACTGACCACATTTTACAATTAACTGCTTATTTATCCTAGGCTTTTCTTGGGATCAATACCTGAAAGACATAGATGCAAAGGCAGCTCCTGCCACATGTTTTAAACAGGTTAGTTGTCTGTCAGCTTGGAATGTGTAAGGTGTCTACTTTAATCTCTGTGATGACAAACCACTTCGAACCTGATCGTGTAATTCATTACACTAGATCAGCATGGAGAAAGTCTCTTCCATTGCTCATTAGTTTAAGTCTGAAGAGATTAGTAGTTCCTGTAAGGTAATTGCCATAGTTCCTGTATGTTTGAAACAAGTTAATTGCCATAGTTCCTGTATGTTTGAACCAAGTTAATTGCCATAGTTCCTGTATGTTTGAAACAAGTTTATTGCCATAGTTCCTGTATGTTTGAAACAAGTTTATTGCCATAGTTCCGGTATGTTTGAAACAAGTTTATTGCCATAGTTCCTGTATGTTTGAAACAAGTTTATTGCCATAGTTCCTGTATGTTTGAAACAAGTTTATTGCCATTTGAAACAAGTTTATTGCCATAGTTCCTGTATGTTTGAAACAAGTTAATTGCCATAGTTCCTGTATGTTTGAAACAAGTTAATTGCCATAGTTCCTGTATGTTTGAAACAAGTTTATTGCCATAGTTCCTGTATGTTTGAACCAATTTAATTGCCATAGTTCCTGTATGTTTGAACCAATTTAATTGCCATAGTTCCTGTATGTTTGAAACAAGTTTATTGCCATAGTTCCTGTATGTTTGAACCAATTTAATTGCCATAGTTCCTGTATGTTTGAAACAAGTTTATTGCCATAGTTCCTGTATGTTTGAAACAAGACGAGGATAGATTGAATTAATTGTGTCAAAGCTGTTTCTGTAAACAATGAATAGATCCATGTGTGATCCTTATAGGCCAGCACTCCTCCGTCCAATGAATTTCACAAGTCAATGAAGCTTGAGGCTAATGATCCGAGGAACAATACCTCCAGCTGTATAGCTACAGTCATAGACATGCAGGGGCCAAGACTCCGGCTTCGTCTAGATGGCAGTGATGACAAGAATGACTTTTGGCGCCTGGTTGATTCTGGTGACCTTCACCCTGTTGGCTTCTGTGAGCAACACAATGGCATGTTACAGCCTCCGCTAGGTACTGTACTTCTCTTTACCTCTGCTTTCATTTGATCTTTTGAGAAAATCTTCAATTTGCTTTTTTTTATACTTGATGCTAGATAATACCTATTTTAATAGCTAAATGATGTTAACATATGTTTTTAAGCCACTAGTTGTGGTATACTGTGGAGGAGTAGCATTTGGAATGACCTTAGAGAAAGTAAAACATTTATCATACAAAAAAGGCTGCAAGACCCCAAACATTTTTTTAAATTGGATATTGACCTTGGAGAGCTTGAAAAATAATTGACAAAATTTTGGGTTTCATTCACCTTTTTATTTCCATTAATTAGATCTACATGTTTCAATGCAAAAAGCAATACCAAAGGAATATGCTAGTTCATTCATTTTTTTTTCAGAAAACAGAAATATTTCTGCAAAAGAAATGTTACTTTTTAAAATCAGTACTAATCAGGGAGGGGGTGTAAATGTTATTTGGGTCTATGTTTGCAATGTTTTCCAGAAGTGATTTGAAAACTTTAAAAAAATTTCTGTTATCTTTTATTTTATTATGATCAATTCTCACAATTGCAAGTGTGGATTATGTTAACATTGTTTGCCCTAAATGACATTCTCTGTTGACTGCAGTCATCTACATGCTAACTGTGCCTTCTTAGACGGCCAGGGTCTAAGAACAATTTTATTACCAATGCTAGATAAAAAATGTCAGTTTGATTTATTAGTCTGTACTAAAAACATATTTTCTGTTGAATAGGTTTTCGAATGAACTCGTCCAGTTGGCCAGGATTTTTACAAAGAACACTGAAGGAAGCAACATTAGCCCCAGAGTCTTGTTTCAACAAGGTAAAGTTTATACAGTTGGCCATTAGGATTTGCCTGCTTCTAAATAGGTTAGATTGTAAGAAAGTAAACTATGGAGAGAAATAATTGTAAACATGTTCTCTAGGAGCCTCCAACACCACCTGGCAACTTATTTCTAGTTGGCCAGAAACTGGAAGCCGTGGATAGAAAAAACCCTGCCCTGATATGTCCTGCCACTGTTGGCGCAGTCAATGAGGAGCAGATTCACGTCACCTTTGATGGCTGGCGCGGTGCCTTTGACTACTGGTGCCGTTACGACTCCAGGGACATCTTCCCTGTGGGCTGGTGTGAAAAAAGTGGACACCCATTGCAGAGTCCAGGTGTTAAAGGTGTGTTACACCTACATTACATGTTACACCTACATTACATGTGACACCTACATTACATGTTACACCTACATTACTTGTTACACATACATTGCTTATTAAACCTACATTACTTGTGACACCTACATTACTTGTGACACTTACTTTACATGTTACACCTACATTACATGTTACACCTACATTACTTGTTACACCTACATTACTTGTTACACCTACATTACTTGTTACACCTACATTACTTGTTACACCTACATTACTTGTTACACCTACATTACTTGTTATACCTACATGTTACACCTACATTACTTGTGACACCTACATCACTTGCACTTTTAAGTAGGAAACCTTCAGAGATTTTTTACATGTTACATTAAAAGTAGTAGGAATCTGTCTATCTATCAGAACTGGAAAAAGTGAAAAATTTATTCCAATGAAGAGAAACTTTTAACTCTTTAAAACCTAAAACTTTGCTTTTAGCCACTCTATTAAAACCTATGACCTAACTTCTTGTTTTAGCCACCCATTAAATACTAAAACTTTACTTTTAGCCACCCCATTAAAACCTAAAACTTTACTTTTAGCCACCCCATTAAAACCTAAAACTTTACTTTTAGCCACCCCATTAAAACCTAAAACTTTACTTTTAGCCACCCCATTAAAACCTAAAACTTTACTTTTAGCCACCCCATTAAAACCTAAAACTTTACTTTTAGCCACCCCATTAAAACCTAAAAATTTACTTTTAAACACCCCATTAAAACCTAAAACTTTACTTTTAGCCACCCCGTTAAAACCTAAAACTTTACTTTTAGCCACCCCATTCAAGTCAGTTAAAAGTCTTCGTGAGACGGAGCTGAGTGTGAGTGTCGCAGGGAGTGGCTATGGTGGGAGTCCGTCCGTGAGTTCCCCCAACTCCCAGACTGTGGGAGGATACAGTGCCAGCCCCTCCATCAGCCCCCCCAACTCCCATGCCAGCCCCCTGACCCCCAGTTCTGAGGAGGTCAACCACCTTTCACCCCACGAGAGCACAGTTACTAGCTCCGAGCCTGACACCACAGGAGCAGACGCTGAAAAAGGTGAGCTCACTCTTCCCCTACCTTGCTTCAACTTTTTATTTGTCTAAAGAAATGATTAAAGTAATTAAACATCTATATACTAAGTTTAACAACAGACATGTTTTTGGTTAAAAGCCTGACAGATGTTGGTCCTATTTTCAGTGTGTGTCTATGTAAACCACAGTTGTAACAGTGGGAGCTTGCTGTCCCCACGTAGTTTACTAGCGGACATGCCCAGCAAGTTTGGGCCAGGCCCCATCAGCTCAGTGCTGGCTGATCTTGTGGAGACCTGCATTGAGTGCGCTGTACAGCAGAGGCAGGTCTTTGACATTTTAAAGATGGCAGCTGCTGGGACTGGCAAGATCACTATTAGAGGTAGGACATTTTTTTTTACTGATGGCTGGGCAAGATCACTATTAGAGGTAGGACATTTTTTTTTACTGATGGCTGGGCAAGATCACTTTTAGAGGTAGGACATTTTTTTTTACTGATGGCTGGGCAATTTTTTTTACTGCAGGCTGGGCAATTTTTTTACTGCAATATTGGCAATTTTTTTACTACAGGCTGGGCAATTTATTTTACTGCAGGCTGGGCAATTTTTTTTACTGCAAAATTGGCATTTTTTTTACTGCAGGCTGGGCAATTTTTGTACTGATGGCTGGCCAATTTATTTACTGCAGGCTGGGCAATTTTTTACTACACACTTTTATCATACTTTTTCTAGGGCAAACTACCTAGTATTAGTCTAGTGCTGAGATAGAATCACATGGAGCTAGGAAATCAAATTAGAGAACCTAGAAAACAGTTATTGAACTCAGTTTAAGTTTGGGTTAAAGTAAAAACTTTGTAAAATGTTTGTAATGGTTTTTCAGTGATATTGTTGGAATCAAATATGTTAATTTTTTTCCATTGACTAGCCACCCACAATAACAGAACATTTACCAAAAGAATAGTCTCCTACGACAAGGTGTCAGACTTCATCCAATTTCTGGAAGGGTTCAGGGAAAGTCTGGGCTGCTGTGAGAACTTTCTCAGCGCTCACTCTCACATCAAGCAGTGTCTCAAGTGTCAGAACAACCGCGCCAAAACTTCTGCCAGGAGATCAGGTACATTTTCAAGTTGTTTCACATGCTTTGGTCTATGGTGGGTGGGTTGGCTACTGTATGTTCATGGTGGGCAGGTTGGCTATTGTATGTTCATGGTGGGCAGGTTGGCTATTGTATGTTCATGGTGGGCTGGTTGGCTATTGTATGTTCATGGTGGGCAGGTTGGCTATTGTATGTTCATGGTGGGCTGGTTGGCTATTGTATGTTCATGGTGGGCAGGTTGGCTATTGTATGTTCATGGTGGGCAGGTTGGCTATGGTGGGCAGGTTGGCTACTGTATGTTAATGGTGGACAGGTTGGCTATTGTATGTCTATGGTGGGCAGGTTGGCTATTGTATGTCTATGGTGGGCAGGTTGGCTATTGTATGTTCATGGTGGGCAGGTTGGCTATGGTGGGCAGGTTGGCTACTGTATGTTAATGGTGGACAGGTTGGCTATTGTATGTCTATGGTGGGCAGGTTGGCTATGGTGGGCAGGTTGGCTATTGTATGTTTATGGTGGGCAGGTTGGCTATTGTATGTTCATGGTGGCCAGGTTGGCTACTGTATGTTAATGGTGGGCAGGTTGGCTATTGTATGTTCATGGTGGCCAGGTTGGCTACTGTATGTTAATGGTGGGCAGGTTGGCTACTGTATGTTCATGGTGGGCAGGTTGGCTACTGTATGTTCAATGTGGGCTGGTTGGCTATTGTATGTTCAATGTGGGCAGGTTGGCTATGGTGGGCAGGTTGGCTACTGTATGTTAATGGTGGGCAGGTTGGCTACTGTATGTTCAATGTGGGCTGGTTGGCTATTGTATGTTCATGGTGGGCAGGTTGGCTATTGTATGTTCATGGTGGGCAGGTTGGCTATTGTGGGCAGGTTGGCTACTGTATGTTAATGGTGGACAGGTTGGCTATTGTATGTTCATGGTGGGCTGGTTGGCTATGGTGGGCAGGTTGGCTATTGTGGGCAGGTTGGCTACTGTATGTTAATGGTGGACAGGTTGGCTATTGTATGTTCATGGTGGGCTGGTTGGCTATGGTGGGCAGGTTGGCTATTGTATGTTAATGGTGGGCAGGTTGGCTATTGTATGTTTATGGTGGGCAGGTTGGCTATTGTGGGCAAGTTGGCTATTGTATGTCTATGGTGGGCAGGTTGGCTACTGTATGTTCAATGTGGGCAGGTTGGCTATTGTATGTTGGGCTGGTTGGCTGTTGTATGTTTATGGTGGGCAGGTTGTCTATGGTGGGCAGGTTGGCTACTGTATGTTCAATGTGGGCTGGTTGTCTACTGTATGTTCATCTTGTTCCAGCCCCGTGGTTGCCAGACTCAGAAGAAGACAATTACCAACCCCCCAAGTCTGTCAGACGGCGCTGGTCAACAGAATCATCAGAGAGCTCCAGGGGTGGGGCTAAACTTGTCCCCAGCAGCAACAGGCAGTACTCCACCCTCGAACCTGGTCAGGAGTGTTGTCATGTGGTTTGTGTGATGTCATGTGGTTTGTGTGATGTCATGTGGTTTGTGTGATGTCATGTGGTTTGTGTGTTGTCATGTGGTTTGTGTGATGTCATGTGGTTTGTGTGATGTTATGTGGTTAGTCTGATGTCATGTGGTTAGTCTGATGTCGTGTGGTTTGTGTGATGTCATGTGACTTGTCTGATGTCATGTGGCTTGTGTAATGTCATGTGACTTGTGTGATGTCATGTGGTTTGTGTGATGTCATGTGGCTTGTGTGTTGTCATGTGGTTTGTGTGATGTCATGTGGCTTGTGTGATGTCATGTGGTTTGTGTGTTGTCATGTGGTTTGTGTGATGTCATGTGGTTTGTGTGATGTCATGTGATGTCATGTGGCTTGTATGATGTCATGTGGCTTGTATGATGTCATGTGGGCTTGTGTGATGTCATGTGGTTTGTGTGATGTCATGTGGTTTGTGTGATGTCATGTGACTTGTGTCATGTCATGTGGTTTGTGTGATGTCATGTGGCTTGTGTCATGTCATGTGACTTGTGTCATGTCATGTGGTTTGTGTCATGTCATGTGGTTTGTGTGATTAATGTGGTTTGTATGATGTCATGTGGTTTGTGTGATGTCATGTGGTTTGTGTGTTGTCATGTGGTTTGTGTGATGTCATGTGGTTTGTGTGATGTCATGTGGTTTGTGTGATGTCATGTGGTTTGTGTGATGTCATGTGGTTTGTGTGATTAATGTGGTTTGTATGATGTCATGTGGTTTGTGTGATGTCATGTGACTTGTGTCATGTCATGTGGTTTGTGTGATGTCATGTGACTTGTGTCATGTCATGTGGTTTGTGTGATTAATGTGGTTTGTGTGATTAATGTGGTTTGTATGATGTCATGTGGTTTGTGTGATGTCATGTGACTTGTGTGATGTCATGTGGCTGTGTGGTGTCATGTGGCTTGTGTGATGTCATGTGACTTGTGTGATGTCATGTGGCTTGTGTGATGTCATGTGGCTTGTGTGATGTCATGTGGCTTGTGTGATGTCATGTGACTTGTGTGATGTCATGTGACTTGTGTGATGTCATGTGACTTGTGTGATGTCATGTGGCTTGTGTGATGTCATGTGGCTTGTGTGATGTCATGTGGTTTGTATGTCCAACCTTGTAGTGGTCAAACAAGAGATAATTGTGTTGATTGTTTTTCTGAAAGTTGTGACTGCCATCCAACAAATCTTCCTGTCTGTTGAATGTTTCTTGTGTCTACAGCCAGCTCAACAACAGGGGAGAACAACTCCCAACCCCCACTTCTCCTCCCTGCAGCCCGCACAGTGGATCCTTCAGAGTGGAGCGTGGAGGACGTCATGACTTACATCAAAGAGACTGATGTAGGTCTCACACCTTATATTGAACATTTCAGGAAACATGTAAGTCAGTTTTATGTTGAAACATGTACCCCCATATTTTAATCTCTCAACCCTCCCTTACTCCCATCTCTCAACCCTCCCTTACCCCCATATTTTAATCTCTCAACCCTCCCTTACTCCCATCTCTCAACCCTCCCTTACTCCCATCTCTCAACCCTCCCTTACCCCCATATTTTAATCTCTCAACCCTCCCTTACTCCCATCTCTCAACCCTCCCTTACTCCCATCTCTCAACCCTCCCTTACCCCCATATTTTAATCTCTCAACCCTCCCTTACTCCCATATTTTAATCTCTCAACCCTCCCTTACTCCCATATTTTAATCTCTCAACCCTCCCTTACTCCCATCTCTCAACCCTCCCTTACTCCCATCTCTCAACCCTCCCTTACCCCCATATTTTGATCTCTCAACCCTCCCTTACTCCCATATTTTAATCTCTCAACCCTCCCTTACCCCCATATTTTGATCTCTCAACCCTCCCTTACCCCCATATTTTGATCGCTCAACCCTCCCTTACTCCCATATTTTAATCTCTCAACCCTCCCTTACCCCCATATTTTAATCTCTCAACCCTCCCTTACCCCCATATTTGATCACTCAACCCCCCCTTACCCCCATATTTTAATCTCTCAACCCCCCCTTACCCCCATATTTTGATCTCTCAACCCTCCCTTACCCCCCATCTCTCAACCCTCCCTTACCCCCATATTTTAATATCTCAACCCTCCCTTACCCCCATATTTTAATCTCTCAACCCTCCCTTACCCCCATATTTGATCACTCAACCCCCCCCTTACCCCCATATTTTAATCTCTCAACCCTCCCTTACTCCCATATTTTGATATCTCAACCCTCCCTTACCCCCCATCTCTCAACCCTCCCTTACTCCCATATTTTAATCTCTCAACCCTCCCTTACCCCCATATTTTAATCTCTCAACCCTCCCTTACTCCCATATTTTGATATCTCAACCCTCCCTTACCCCCCATCTCTCAACCCTCCCTTACTCCCATATTTTAATCTCTCAACCCTCCCTTACCCCCATATTTTAATCTCTCAACCCTCCCTTACCCCCATATTTGATCACTCAACCCTCCCTTACCCCCCATCTCTCAACCCTCCCTTACCCCCATATTTTAATATCTCAACCCTCCCTTACCCCCATATTTTAATATCTCAACCCTCCCTTACCCCCATATTTTAATCTCTCAACCCTCCCTTACCCCCATATTTGATCACTCAACCCCCCCTTACCCCCATATTTTAATCTCTCAACCCTCCCTTACTCCCATATTTTGATATCTCAACCCTCCCTTACCCCCCATCTCTCAACCCTCCCTTACTCCCATATTTTAATCTCTCAACCCTCCCTTACCCCCATATTTTAATCTCTCAACCCTCCCTTACCCCCATATTTGATCACTCAACCCTCCCTTACCCCCCATCTCTCAACCCTCCCTTACCCCCATATTTTAATATCTCAACCCTCCCTTACCCCCATATTTTAATCTCTCAACCCTCCCTTACCCCCATATTTGATCACTCAACCCCCCCTTACCCACATATTTTGATCACTCAACCCCCCTTACCCCCATATTTTAATCTCTCAACCCTCCCTTACTCCCATATTTTGATATCTCAACCCTCCCTTACCCCCCATCTCTCAACCCTCCCTTACTCCCATATTTTAATCTCTCAACCCTCCCTTACTCCCATATTTTAATCTCTCAACCCTCCCTTACTCCCATATTTTCATCTCTCAACCCTCCCTTACTCCCATCTCTCAACCCTCCCTTACCCCCATATTTTGATCTCTCAACCCTCCCTTACCCCCCATCTCTCAACCCTCCCTTACTCCCATATTTTAATCTCTCAACCCTCCCTTACCCCCCATCTCTCAACCCTCCCTTACTCCCATATTTTGATCTCTCAACCCTCCCTTACCCCCATATTTTAATCTCTCAACCCTCCCTTACCCCCATATTTTGATCTCTCAACCCTCCCTTACCCCCATATTTTGATCTCTCAACCCTCCCTTACCCCCCATCTCTCAACCCTCCCTTACTCCCATATTTTAATCTCTCAACCCTCCCTTACCCCCCATCTCTCAACCCTCCCTTACTCCCATATTTTGATCTCTCAACCCTCCCTTACCCCCATATTTTAATCTCTCAACCCTCCCTTACCCCCATATTTTGATCTCTCAATGGTCCCTACCTGAAAATTTCCCAGGAAATAGATGGAAAAGCCTTCCTGCTGCTCAAGAGTGAGATGATGCTGAAGTACATGGGTCTAAAGCTGGGACCAGTGGTCAAGTTGTGCAATATCATCGACAAACTCAAGGCTAGATGCAACAAGTAAAGACTTGCCACACCTGCCTGCCACAGCAGCTCCATATCAACATGCAAGACATGTTTCAAATGTTGCATTGTAAAAGCTCCATGTCCCATCAACATGCAAGACATGTTTCAAATGTTGCATTGTAAAAGCTCCATGTCCCATCAACATGCAAGACATGTTTCAAATGTTGCATTGTAAAATCCAAAAGTTGTAGAGCCAATGGGGTTAAACAATAGAAAACTGACGGGTAAGCAATACATTTTTTATACACCTGGTGCCTGGCACTGGGGCGGTCACTCGCTGGGTCACGCAGCCAGCTGCTGGGTCATGCAGCCAGCTGCTGTTGGTTGCTGCAGCTATAGACTGCTGTTTACATAGAGCTTTCGGGGATATCAAGGGTTATTCACTGTTTTTGTTGGCTTTTTCTTTTCTATGCTTGTGATTTATAGCTCATTTTTCCAATTGTATCATATGTTTTTTTCAAACACTTTTTCACTTTTAAAATTTGTTGTTCCACAAATTATAGGGCTTATTTTACAACCTATTCAATGTTGATTAAACAAAATAGAGTATTGCAAAGACTAGGAAGAGTTGATGAAATTGTATTTTATTTAGTGCTGATTGTTTCAGAAATCAAATTAAACTAGATTAGATATTTACAGATTAATGTAGCAATAGAGTAGCGGGGGGGGGGGGGATACAATAAGCTACAGTGGTAGGGGGGAATACAATGTTACAGTGGTAGGGGGGAATACACTACATTGCTATGTTGGTCTGTAACAAGTGTTTATCCATGTAATGCTAGTGATGTGTGCTAAAATGTGAATTGTTTGAACCTGCCATTCCCAGTTGTCAGATTATCCACTATGCAACTGTTTAATACTGAGACGAGAGTGATTGAATGTCAGTACTAAAGGTTTACATGTTACATGCTGTTTGCTCTATTATGCAAAGGAAAAAATGTGCCACGTTGGTTAGAAAATGTGCTGTCGGACAGCAACTGTGACAGCAAGTGGTTGACATCAAATGTCTGTGTGTTATTGATCTTGTGACAGCAAGCGTAACTCTTTGACAGCAACTGTCTGACAATGATGTGTACCACCACAAGACACAACAAATACAAGCAACTATGACAGCAACTGTCTGACAATGATGTGTACCACCACAAGACACAACAAATACAAGCAACTATGACAGCAACTGTCTGACAAAGATGTGTACCACCACAAGACACAACAAATACAAGCAACTATGACAGCAACTGTCTGACAATGATGTGTACCATCACAAGACACAACAAATACAAGCAACTATGACAGCAACTGTCTGACAATGATGTGTACCACCACAAGACACAACAAATACAAGCAACTATGACAGCAACTGTCTGACAATGATGTGTACCATCACAAGACACAACAAGCCCTATAATTTTAGCGCTTGCTGGACATTCTGCTATTCTACTGTAACAAGCATTTCTATGCCCAGTTTTCAACTGAGGTAAGGAATAGATAAGTAGTAACTAGAGATGCTTAAAGACTGGGTTTTGTCTGAAAGGTGTGAGGGAATCTTAGTGGAACTGTTTGCTTGTATTGTACTCTCTATCTTGTTCATGTTTAATTACTAAAGCTGCACACTGCCTTCATTTACACATGTTTCATTCACTTCATATTTCTGATGTTTACATTTTTCTTTTTTCTTTCATGGGTTTTTTTTTCCATATCTTGAGCTATATTTTAACACACTACATGGAAAGGTAGTTTAAGTGTGTCATTTATTTGTTAGTAAGTAAATGAACAATATTATTGTTATCTTTGTACTTGGGCATCAAAAGCAGCTCAGAAATGCCATCTTCTTTGAAATTTGAGGTTATCTCTAATGATCTAATTCTAATGGGATTCAGGGGGCTTCTCGAATTCTTATGGGATTAGGGGGTACTTTTAATCCTAATGGGATTAGTAGGTTCTTCCTCTGGCCGTCCACTGGATGTTACAGTGATGTGTTGGATGTAACTGGCCACTTGAACAGAGTAGAAAAAAGACCAGGCTAAGGTTACATTGTTATTTTTACAAACTTGCTGTTTTATGGAAAACTTAATTCAAGTATTTTTGTGCGTAAACTGCCATCTGTTTATGATGCCCACAAAAACAAGTTGGAATCTTAAACATGCCCCCCCCCCCCCCCCCTGTCCACTTTCAATGACATGGATGTCAACACTAATTCAGTTAGTTCAATAACATGTATTGTGTGCCTTGCTATTCTATCAATTATTATAGGAAACTTTTTTCTGTATTATATTTTATTAGGTTTAAATATAAGTAAAATCCAAGAATGTTTTGATAAAACTAAATGTTTGAGATGTTAATCTACTAAAGCTATGACAGCTGCTTGATTTATTTTGTCATGTCACCATTAGACATTTATGTTTTTGTATAGCAGAATAGTTTCTCTAGTAGTTATAGGATTCCCAACATTTGTGTTAATATTGTTGACTTGATTGTGCTGGCTTACCAAACAGGTTCTAAATTTATCCTTAAAGGTGCCATCTCTCTAACATGAGGAGAGCTAGCTTTTTATTTTTAGCTAACATTTTAAAAAACACATAGTCTATGTGTGTGTGTGTGGATGCCATAAACAGATGAGCCTGAATTGGTTGTGTAAATTCCATCCCTAGCAAGTCTTGTAGGTCATTAGATGGGGACAAGTACTGCTGGCATTCTCCCTCTCTTGGTCTATCAGATGTACTAGTGTTGGGGGACAACATGTTCTGTGTATCAGTGGCCATACAGCACATACCACTGGTCAGATTGTATGTTCTGTGTATCAGTGGCCATACAGCACATACCAGTGGTCAGATTGTATGTTCTGTGTATCAGTGGCCATACAGCACATACCAGTGGTCAGATGTTCTGTGTATCAGTGGCCATACAGCACATACCACTGGTCAGATTGTATGTTCTGTGTATCAGTGGCCATACAGCACATACCATTGGTCAGATTGTATGTTCTGTGTATCAGTGGCCATACAGCACATACCATTGGTCAGATTGTATGTTCTGTGTATCAGTGGCCATACAGCACATACCATTGGTCAGATTGTATGTTCTGTGTATCAGTGGCCATACAGCACATACCACTGGTCAGATTGTATGTTTAGGTACTGTTTGTTTATCTGGAATGGATTTCTTTAGATGTGATTTTGGGTTTTTCCTAAGATTTATCTATTTTATTTTTGTTCTTATTGTTAAATATAAGATAAATTGTTATTTCAACTTATTATTTCAATTGGCTGTACATATTTTAGAACTATATTTAGTTAAAAAATGCTTTATATTTTTTTACTGGCTTGCAGTTTTAAAATTTTTTGCTTTTTTTTTTATTTGCTGTTAAAAAATAATTGAAGGTTAAAATGTTTGGATTCTTCATTAGTTCTTAGTTTCTGCATGTATCATTTGTGTGATGAGACATTAGTCTTAAGACACCTATGCAAGAGTAAAGGAACTTGGATGTGTTATTGATCTGTTAAAAAAGATTAAATTACAAAATGGAAAAAAGCTGTGTTTTTTTTTCAAATTTCCTAAGTAAATAAAATTCAGAATGAGAAAATATTCAGTGCACTGGTTAACAAATGTAATGTTTCCTTTTAATGACGTATAAGTATTGTTAGATGCCAGGAACAAATTCTGTTCTGTTTTTTTGTTAGGCTTGTCAAACTTTCCCATACTGCTAATGCTGCTCATCTTCCATTATGCATAATACCTGCGATAGAAAGCTATGCAGGCTGAGGTTTTTGTGCCATACACTTAGGAGTCTGAGAGTCCGATGGAAACCGGCCAAGATACCATGTAGAATTGACATTTAGATTATTTTTATTAAAAAAAATTTAAACAAATTAAAAAAAAATTCTGAAGAGTGTAAGGTTTTTTTTGTAATTGAATAAAATGGGATGTTGAATTTGTTTTGTCTTAGTTTTTATTGTTTTTTAAACAGCTGAGTAACTAGACCATACACAGCGGAGTAACTAACTATAGATTAGATAGTTAACAGTGTATCTACTTTTCTATTATGTTAATAAAAAGGTTACAATAACTTTTTTAAAACATGATTACATTTTTAAAAGCTTATAGTCATATTAAATGCTTTGGTATTTCAATTTGACTTGAAAAAACATGAACTTTTAAAGGGGGTATGCTAGCTGTAAGATGATACAAACCTACCAGCCATCTATAAGTTGATACAAACCTACCAGCTATAAGTTGATACAAACCTACCAGCTGTCTGTAAGTTGATACAAACCTACCAACCATCTGCAAGTTGATACAAACCTACCAACCATCTGTAAGTTGATACAAACCTACCAGCCATCTATAAGTTGATACAAACCTACCAGCTGTCTGTAAGTTGATACAAACCTACCAACCATCTGCAAGTTGATACAAACCTACCAACCATTTGTAAGTTGATACAAACCTACCAACCATCTGTCAGTTGATACAAACCTACCAGCTGTCTGTAAGTTGATACAAACCTACCAGCTGTCTGTAAGTTGATACAAACCTACCAGCTGTCTGTAAGTTGATACAAACCTACCAGCTGTCTGTAAGTTGATATAGATCTATAACCAACTGGTGACCAACAGAACAACAATGTCATAACTTGAAGTACTGGATCAAGGTAACAATTCCCTTTTGTGTGTTAAGAATGTCATTTGAAGTACTGGATCAAGGTAACAATTCCCTTTTGTGTGTTAAGAATGTCATTTGAAGTACTGGATCAAGGTAACAATTCCCTTTAGTGTGTTCAAACTATATAGAGAAATTATTAGCACAAATCTCATTTGTCATAAATAAAAACAGATAAAGGGAAATAACTGGCTGGTGACAAGACTTGAACCAAAAGTACATACAGAATAAATTGCAGCATAATGGTATTGTTATAGCACCACATTTTTATTTGAACAAGTTACAGTGATGATATACATTGTGCAGCACACGTGATCACAACAAAACCAACAAGTTGACATTGGGGGGAGGACCATGCTACAGCTATATGGTGTGGCCATCACATAGAAAATTGTATAGGGGCCATCTGTAATTGACGCCATATTCCTGGGGAGGGGGGGGGGGGGCACTCAGACCTTGAGGAGTGTCTGATAGGTTGGTAGAAGTGTGACTTCACTTTGAAAAATATTTTTTCAGCAATTTAAAAAAAATTAAAATAATCATTTCTTGTAAATTTAATACAACTTGATCAATGTAATCTTAAACCAAATTTGCCAACATTTTCAGTATTAAATGCTAATTAGCACCAAAATCAATCTAGCAAAAAAGCAGCTATTAGTAGTGGATTCAATTTTGAATTGATTATATCCCTTTATTAAAGACAATTTTTAAACAGAAATTGCTTTTTTTAAAAAAGTAATTTTTAGGGTTGGGTCTGACCTTTGTGACAATAGTTGAGATTTTTAAAAATGACAACAACAAAAATTTTGGACAGCTTCTTATGTGTGGTTAGTGTTGTTTATCACTGTTAAATATTACACTGATTTAAAACTACTAAAATAATTTTAATGAGCATAAATTTATATATATATTATATAGTAAAAAAGTATTTTTAAAAATGTATAAAAAATATTTGTTTCAAATATTCTAAATAAAATGTTTGATCAGTTAACTGTACTGTTAAAACAAATGAGCAAATTTCATCACTTGCACATTCCACAAAGAGCTTGCTAGCAATCCCTCTAGACAAGTGTATATTTTAAAGGTTGGTTTAGAACACCAGGATAGAGTTTGTCTTGACAAGTGTATATTTTAAAGGTTGGTTTAGAACACCAGGATAGAGTTTGTCTTGACAAGTGTATATTTTAAAGGTTGGTTTAGAACACCAGGATGGAGAGTTTGTCAGCTAAGTTGAACCCTGTGTGTTTGTGGACTATTACCCCAAATGGTAGAGGGCTATGAATTGTGTATGGCCAGATGAGAACAATGGCCTAAAAAAATTGTAACGGCTGATTTTTCTAGTTAAATCTACAATAAGATCACCAAACAATGTATTCTATTATTTAATTTATTTTCTTTACATACATATTTAATATTGAAAGACTTGCGTAGAGGATAGAAGGCTATGGAACTGATATCTTCTTATGCCTAATTTAAAAACAAAACAATGTTTATAACCCATCCTAAAACTACTTTGTACAAAAACCATCTATCAAATCCACTCAAAGCATCACATCAGTAAATTACTATCAATCCATTCGAAGCATCTCATCAGCAAATGACTACTCTCAACTCCACTTTGCTGTTGTCCAAACAAGTGAAATTGTATGTCCAACATGTAACCTTTCACACACAACGTATTTTAAAATTGTGATCGTAACTACAAATATATCATGGATTAAGTTGTTTTTTTAAATGCCCTACTTTGTTATATAAGTATAGTACATATAATTTTTGTAATGATCTAAAATAGGTTTCTTGAGCAGTATCAAATTAATTCAAATGCTTTGTAACATATATAAAATATATAAAAATAACTATTATTTTCAGCATCAATAAAACATTCAATAGTTACTATTTTATGGTAAAGATAAATTGAATATACAGAAATGGAGAATATTTGTACAACGTAGTGTAAATAGTGTTTTAGTAATCACAAGCAGAAAGACAGAAAGTATAACTCTGTGATCAAAGGGAAGTAAGTGGAAGCTGAAAGACAGAAAAGGACAAGTTTAGTGAGCCACTAGATCAACAACAAATACAGTACATTGAGTATAACAGAACATTATACAAATAACATGACACTATTGTACGTGTGTATCCATTGAGTAGAACAGAACATGATACCAATATTAATCACAGCAGTCAAGCTGGTCTGGGATAAAATAAGCTGGAAATAAAAAAGTTTATGTCCACCAATCACCATAAGTGATTTGAGGTTTGTAGCTAGAAATAAAACATGGCTAAACAATGTCCATCTAGTACATTTTCTGTTCATCATGTGTAGTCCGCTGTTTGAGAGTTTCAACCTTGTTGCTACACATCATGGTAGATATAATCTGAACAAGGCCAACCTTGTCGCTACACATCATGGTAGATATAATCTGAACAAGGCACCAACATTGCATATAGATCTAGCACTCAAATATTTAACAATCAGCTATTTAAAAAAAATTTAACAATTGAAAAACTTTCATTTGTTGTTTGACTGTTCTTATTGAAGATTAACAAATACTAAGTACTGGTAATTTAAAGCAAAAAGGTTTAAATTTGGCAGTAACATTAATCAGTTTTAAGTAGTTAATTTTTTTCTATATAATAAATGGTGACAAGAAAACAAATAAAAAAACAGTTTTAATTTTATCATTTTAAGTCAGTCCAAATTTTAAAATACTGAAGAAATAAAATAACTCAAATTTTTAAAAAATTATTAAATTGATATGGTTTATCTTCATGATTTTGTGTACGTTATTTACCATTATAAAATGTATAAAGAAACCTTACAGTAAAAAAGCTCATACTTATAGTTTGAGATATAAAATAATAAAAATGCCTCATTTAATTAATGTATAATATATTTAGGCTGCAATGATGGAAATACAAAGTTTGGCGAACATTTAAAATTATTTAAAAAGATGGCAAACAAAAAAATTACATCGTTCAGCACTTTAGAAATCAGAGCACCTTTTGGCTTTGTTGTCAAGTATTTATAAATACTACATTGTGGTTGTTAATGCTAAGTGTACAACAAAGTCCTTAGAATTCTTGTTCTATCTTTTTTCCCATAGATAATGTTGGGCCCATTTCTTCACATACAACTGTCATGTTTCTTCACATACAACTGTCTTGATTCTTCACATACAACTGTCTTGATTCTTCACATACAACTAACTGTCATGTTTCTTCACATACAACTGTCTTGATTCTTCACATACAACTGTCTTGATTCTTCACATACAACTAACTGTCATGTTTCTTCACATACAACTGTCTTGATTCTTCACATACAACTGTCTTGATTCTTCACATACAACTGTCTTGATTCTTCACATACAACTGTCTTGATTCTTCACATACAACTGTCTTGATTCTTCACATACAACTGTCTTGATTCTTCACATACAACTGTCTTGATTCTTCACATACAACTGTCTTGATTCTTCACATACAACTGCCTTGCTTCTTCACATACAACTAACTGTCTTGTTTCTGTGCATACAACTAACTGTCCTGTTTCCTGGACAACATTGGATCAGTTTCCTCTGCCTGACCAACTTCCTCAGTGGGCAGCTGATCCTCAGTGTTGTCTGCCCTAACAACATTGTTCAGCTCAACAGGGCTGTTGTCAGCGATGTTTGCCCTAACAACATTGTTCAGCTCAACAGGGCTGTTGTCAGCGTTGTTTGATACATCTTGTGGGAGGGCTGTTGTAAGTTTACCAAGCTCGTCAATGTCGCCTATGATTATAACTTCTGCATGGGGAGAGTTCGCTTTTGGAGGTGGATCTACTGATGAATCTAAACACACAGAACAGCATATCAACATCAATTTTTGTTACACCTAATTTACACCTATATAGTAAAAACTCTTCTTACACTGACCAGTGGTCAGTTAAAACAAACTACCACTTCACACTGACCAGTGGTCAGTCTAAACAAACTACAACTTAACACTGACCTGTGGTCAGTCAAAACAAACTACCACTTCACACTGACCAGTGGTCAGTCTAAACAAACTACCACTTAACACTTACCAGTGGTCAGTCAAAACAAACTACCACTTAACACTTACCATTACCAATGGCCAGTTTACTGTGGTAAATATCATGACATGAAACAGCAGCAAACTCTTCAATGGATGTCACAGCAGGTACATTCTAGAAAGTTGTAAACTTGGGGTCAATCATTTTTTCAAAATGTACAAAATGTCATAAGTAGTTGTGCTGCACAGAACAGAACACAAAGGAACAGAACAATAAACAGAGTCAAGAACAGAACAATAAACAGAGTCAAGAAAAGAATAATAAACAGAGTCAAGAACAGAATAATAAACAGAGTCAAGAACAGAACAATAAACAGAGTCAAGAACAGAATAATAAACAAAGTCAAGAACAGAATAATAAACAGAGTCAGGTTTGGTGTGGGGTATGAAGAACATGATGAGATGTAAACTTACATGAAGAACATGATGAGATGTAAACTTACATGAAGAACATGATGAGATGTAAACTTACATGAAGAACATGATGAGATGTAAACTTACATGAAGAACATGATGAGATGTAAACTTACACGAAGAACATGATGAGATGTAAACTTACATGAAGAACATGATGAGATGTAAACTTACATGAAGAACATGATGAGATGTAAACTTACATGAAGAACATGATGAGATGTAAACTTACATGAAGAACATGATGAGATGTAAACTTACATGAAGAACATGATGAGATGTAAACTTACATGAAGAACATGATGAGATGTAAACTTACATGAAGAACATGATGAGATGTAAACTTACTTGAAGAACATGATGAGATGTAAACTTACATGAAGAACATGATGAGATGTAAACTTACATGAAGAACATGATGAGATGTAAACTTACATGAAGAACATGATGAGATGTAAACTTACATGAAGAACATGATGAGATGTAAACTTACATGAAGAACATGATGAGATGTAAACTTACATGAAGAACATGATGAGATGTAAACTTACATGAAGAACATGATGAGATGTAAACTTACATGAAGAACATGATGAGATGTAAACTTACATGAAGAACATGATGAGATGTAAACTTACATGAAGAACATGATGAGATGTAAACTTACATGAAGAACATGATGAGATGTAAACTTACATGAAGAACATGATGAGATGTAAACTTACATGAAGAACATGATGAGATGTAAACTTACATGAAGAACATGATGAGATGTAAACTTACATGAAGAACATGATGAGATGTAAACTTACATGAAGAACATGATGAGATGTAAACTTACATGAAGAACATGATGAGATGTAAACTTACATGAAGAACATGATGAGATGTAAACTTACATGTAGAACATGATGAGATGTAAACTTACATGAAGAACATGATGAGATGTAAACTTACATGAAGAACATGATGAGATGTAAACTTACATGAAGAACATGATGAGATGTAAACTTACATGAAGAACATGATGAGATGTAAACTTACATGAAGAACATGATGAGATGTAAACTTACATGAAGAACATGATGAGATGTAAACTTACATGAAGAACATGATGAGATGTAAACTTACATGAAGAACATGATGAGATGTAAACTTACATGAAGAACATGATGAGATGTAAACTTACATGAAGAACATGATGAGATGTAAACTTACATGAAGAACATGATGAGATGTAAACTTACATGAAGAACATGATGAGATGTAAACTTACATGAAGAACATGATGAGATGTAAACTTACATGAAGAACATGATGAGATGTAAACTTACATGAAGAACATGATGAGATGTAAACTTACATGAAGAACATGATGAGATGTAAACTTACATGAAGAACATGATGAGATGTAAACTTACATGAAGAACATGATGAGATGTAAACTTACATGAAGAACATGATGAGATGTAAACTTACATGAAGAACATGATGAGATGTAAACTTACATGAAGAACATGATGAGATGTAAACTTACATGAAGAACATGATGAGATGTAAACTTACATGAAGAACATGATGAGATGTAAACTTACATGAAGAACATGATGAGATGTAAACTTACATGAAGAACATGATGAGATGTAAACTTACATGAAGAACATGATGAGATGTAAACTTACATGAAGAACATGATGAGATGTAAACTTACATGAAGAACATGATGAGATGTAAACTTACATGAAGAACATGATGAGATGTAAACTTACATGAAGAACATGATGAGATGTAAACTTACATGAAGAACATGATGAGATGTAAACTTACATGTAGAACATGATGAGATGTAAACTTACATGAAGAACATGATGAGATGTAAACTTACATGAAGAACATGATGAGATGTAAACTTACATGAAGAACATGATGAGATGTAAACTTACATGAAGAACATGATGAGATGTAAACTTACATGAAGAACATGATGAGATGTAAACTTACATGAAGAACATGATGAGGTGTAAACTTACAGGTTTGGTGCGGGGTATGAAGAACATGATGAGATGTAAACTTACATGAAGAACATGATGAGATGTAAACTTACATGAAGAACATGATGAGATGTAAACTTACAGGTTTGGTGCGGGGTATGAAGAACATGATGAGATGTAAATTTACATGAAGAACATGATGAGATGTAAACTTACAGGTTTGGTGCGGGGTATGAAGAACATGATGAGATGTAAACTTACATGAAGAACATGATGAGAGGTAAACTTACATGAAGAACATGATGAGATGTAAACTTACATGAAGAACATGATGAGATGTAAACTTACAGGTTTGGTGCGGGGTATGAAGAACATGATGAGATGTAAATTTACATGAAGAACATGATGAGATGTAAACTTACAGGTTTGGTGCGGGGTATGAAGAACATGATGAGATGTAAACTTACAGGTTTGGTGCGTGGTATGAAGAACATGATGAGATGTAAACTTACATGAAGAACATGATGAGATGTAAACTTACAGGTTTGGTGCGTGGTATGAAGAACATGATGAGATGTAAACTTACATGAAGAACATGATGAGATGTAAACTTACAGGTTTGGTGCGGGGTATGAAGAACATGATGAGATGTAAACTTACAGGTTTGGTGCATGGTATGAAGAACATGATGAGATGTAAACTTACATGAAGAACATGATGAGATGTAAACTTACAGGTTTGGTGCGGGGTATGAAGAACATGATGAGATGTAAACTTACAGGTTTGGTGCGGGGTATGAAGACCATGATGAGATGTAAACTTACATGAAGAACATGATGAGATGTAAACTTACAGGTTTGGTGCGTGGTATGAAGAACATGATGAGATGTAAACTTACATGAAGAACATGATGAGATGTAAACTTACAGGTTTGGTGCGGGGTATGAAGAACATGATGAGATGTAAACTTACAGGTTTGGTGCGTGGTATGAAGAACATGATGAGATGTAAACTTACATGAAGAACATGATGAGATGTAAACTTACAGGTTTGGTGCGGGGTATGAAGAACATGATGAGATGTAAACTTACAGGTTTGGTGCGGGGTATGAAGAACATGATGAGATGTAAACTTACAGGTTTGGTGCGGGGTATGAAGAACATGATGAGATGTAAACTTACATGAAGAACATGATGAGATGTAAACTTACAGGTTTGGTGCGTGGTATGAAGAACATGATGAGATGTAAACTTACATGAAGAACATGATGAGATGTAAACTTACAGGTTTGGTGCGGGGTATGAAGAACATGATGAGATGTAAACTTACATGAAGAACATGATGAGATGTAAACTTACAGGTTTGGTGCGGGGTATGAAGAACATGATGAGATGTAAACTTACAGGTTTGGTGCGGGGTACGAAGAACATGATGAGATGTAAACTTACAGGTTTGGTGCGGGGTATGAAGAACATGATGAGATGTAAACTTACAGGTTTGGTGCGGGGTATAAGGAACATGATGAGATGTAAACTTACAGGTTTGGTGCGGGGTATGAAGAACATGATGAGATGTAAACTTACAGGTTTGGTGCGGGGTATGAAGAACATGATGAGATGTAAACTTACAGGTTTGGTGCGGGGTATGAAGAACATGATGAGATGTAAACTTACAGGTTTGGTGCGGGGTATGAAGAACATGATGAGATGTAAACTTACAGGTTTGGTGCGGGGTATGAAGAACATGATGAGATGTAAACTTACAGGTTTGGTGCGGGGTATGAAGAACATGATGAGATGTAAACTTACATGAAGAACATGATGAGATGTAAACTTACAGGTTTGGTGCGTGGTATGAAGAACATGATGAGATGTAAACTTACATGAAGAACATGATGAGATGTAAACTTACAGGTTTGGTGCGTGGTATGAAGAACATGATGAGATGTAAACTTACATGAAGAACATGATGAGATGTAAACTTACAGGTTTGGTGCGTGGTATGAAGAACATGATGAGATGTAAACTTACATGAAGAACATGATGAGATGTAAACTTACAGGTTTGGTGCGGGGTATGAAGAACATGATGAGATGTAAACTTACAGGTTTGGTGCGGGGTATGAAGAACATGATGAGATGTAAACTTACAGGTTTGGTGCGGGGTATGAAGAACATGATGAGATGTAAACTTACATGAAGAACATGATGAGATGTAAACTTACAGGTTTGGTGCGTGGTATGAAGAACATGATGAGATGTAAACTTACATGAAGAACATGATGAGATGTAAACTTACAGGTTTGGTGCGGGGTATGAAGAACATGATGAGATGTAAACTTACATGAAGAACATGATGAGATGTAAACTTACAGGTTTGGTGCGGGGTATGAAGAACATGATGAGATGTAAACTTACAGGTTTGGTGCGGGGTACGAAGAACATGATGAGATGTAAACTTACAGGTTTGGTGCGGGGTATGAAGAACATGATGAGATGTAAACTTACAGGTTTGGTGCGGGGTATAAGGAACATGATGAGATGTAAACTTACAGGTTTGGTGCGGGGTATGAAGAACATGATGAGATGTAAACTTACAGGTTTGGTGCGGGGTATGAAGAACATGATGAGATGTAAACTTACAGGTTTGGTGCGGGGTATGAAGAACATGATGAGATGTAAACTTACAGGTTTGGTGCGGGGTATGAAGAACATGATGAGATGTAAACTTACAGGTTTGGTGCGGGGTATGAAGAACATGATGAGATGTAAACTTACAGGTTTGGTGCGGGGTATGAAGAACATGATGAGATGTAAACTTACATGAAGAACATGATGAGATGTAAACTTACAGGTTTGGTGCGTGGTATGAAGAACATGATGAGATGTAAACTTACATGAAGAACATGATGAGATGTAAACTTACAGGTTTGGTGCGTGGTATGAAGAACATGATGAGATGTAAACTTACATGAAGAACATGATGAGATGTAAACTTACAGGTTTGGTGCGTGGTATGAAGAACATGATGAGATGTAAACTTACATGAAGAACATGATGAGATGTAAACTTACAGGTTTGGTGCGGGGTATGAAGAACATGATGAGATGTAAACTTACAGGTTTGGTGCGTGGTATGAAGAACATGATGAGATGTAAACTTACATGAAGAACATGATGAGATGTAAACTTACAGGTTTGGTGCGGGGTATGAAGAACATGATGAGATGTAAACTTACATGAAGAACATGATGAGATGTAAACTTACAGGTTTGGTGCGTGGTATGAAGAACATGATGAGATGTAAACTTACATGAAGAACATGATGAGATGTAAACTTACAGGTTTGGTGCGGGGTATGAAGAACATGATGAGATGTAAACTTACAGGTTTGGTGCGGGGTATGAAGAACATGATGAGATGTAAACTTACAGGTTTGGTGCGGGGTATGAAGAACATGATGAGATGTAAACTTACAGGTTTGGTGCGGGGTATGAAGAACATGATGAGATGTAAACTTACAGGTTTGGTGCGGGGTATGAAGAACATGATGAGATGTAAACTTACAGGTTTGGTGCGGGGTATGAAGAACATGATGAGATGTAAACTTACAGGTTTGGTGCGGGGTATGAAGAACATGATGAGATGTAAACTTACATGAAGAACATGATGAGATGTAAACTTACAGGTTTGGTGCGTGGTATGAAGAACATGATGAGATGTAAACTTACAGGTTTGGTGCGGGGTATGAAGAACATGATGAGATGTAAACTTACAGGTTTGGTGCGGGGTATGAAGAACATGATGAGATGTAAACTTACAGGTTTGGTGCGGGGTATGAAGAACATGATGAGATGTAAACTTACAGGTTTGGTGCGGGGTATGAAGAACATGATGAGATGTAAACTTACAGGTTTGGTGCGGGGTATGAAGAACATGATGAGATGTAAACTTACAGGTTTGGTGCGGGGTATGAAGAACATGATGAGATGTAAACTTACAGGTTTGGTGCGGGGTATGAAGAACATGATGAGATGTAAACTTACAGGTTTGGTGCGGGGTATAAGGAACATGATGAGATGTAAACTTACAGGTTTGGTGCGGGGTATGAAGAACATGATGAGATGTAAACTTACAGGTTTGGTGCGGGGTATGAAGAACATGATGAGATGTAAACTTACAGGTTTGGTGCGTGGTATGAAGAACATGATGAGATGTAAACTTACAGGTTTGGTGCGGGGTATGAAGAACATGATGAGATGTAAACTTACAGGTTTGGTGCGGGGTATGAAGAACATGATGAGATGTAAACTTACAGGTTTGGTGCGGGGTATGAAGAACATGATGAGATGTAAACTTACAGGTTTGGTGCGGGGTATGAAGAACATGATGAGATGTAAACTTACATGAAGAACATGATGAGATGTAAACTTACAGGTTTGGTGCGGGGTATGAAGAACATGATGAGATGTAAACTTACATGAAGAACATGATGAGATGTAAACTTACAGGTTTGGTGCGGGGTATGAAGAACATGATGAGATGTAAACTTACAGGTTTGGTGCGGGGTATGAAGAACATGATGAGATGTAAACTTACATGAAGAACATGATGAGATGTAAACTTACAGGTTTGGTGCGGGGTATGAAGAACATGATGAGATGTAAACTTACATGAAGAACATGATGAGATGTAAACTTACAGGTTTGGTGCGGGGTATGAAGAACATGATGAGATGTAAACTTACAGGTTTGGTGCGGGGTATGAAGAACATGATGAGATGTAAACTTACATGTAGAACATGATGAGATGTAAACTTACAGGTTTGGTGCGGGGTATGAAGAACATGATGAGATGTAAACTTACATGAAGAACATGATGAGATGTAAACTTACAGGTTTGGTGCGGGGTATGAAGAACATGATGAGAGCCCCCAGCACAGGTGGACAACCAGCAACATGGAAGGCTATATTGTAGGAGCCTAAGCTATCGTACAACATGCCTGAAAGTAAAAATAATCTTTTGCTGTCAAGGTTTGTATAACATGCCTGAAAGTAAAAATAAACTTTTGCTGTCAAGGTTTGTATAACATGCCTGAAAGTAAAAATAAACTTTTGCTGTCAAGGTTTGTACAACATGCCTGAAAGTAAAAATAAACTTTTGCTGTGAAGGTTTGTCACAATCTATATAAGCTAGTAAAATATTTATTTCTTACTTTTGCCGAAATTGGAGCAAAAGCTCCAAAAAACTAGGGGATACTTTGTAAAACAGCCTGTTATGTTCGACACTCATTGAAAAAATCTCATTGACTTGCACATCATGCTTTTTCTAGAAGAAACATGGGGAGAAACATGCTTTCTTCACTATATCTTCTATTGCACCCCCCTCCCCCAGAGTTTGACATCATTTATGGACAACCACACATAATTTTTTTCAACTTTCTATAGCTTACTTTCTATCTGCTTACTTTCTATCTGCTTACTTTCTATCTGCTTACTTTATATCAGCTTACTTTCTATCTGCTTACTTTATATCAGCTTAAAGATAAGAATTACCAGCTATTGGAGGGCCCACTGTCATTGGTATGGAGAAAATGCCAAAGAGAAAGCCTAGGGCCTGTGAGGCCCCCCTTTCTCCAACAATATCAAAGGCAATGGGTCCCAGCAAGCAAATAAAGATGCCATCACAAGCTCCCATGATCAATGTGATGGCGATGAGGCCTCCGAAGCTGGATGAGAAGGGTATGCAAGCGGTGCAGATCCCAAGGATAGCAAAGGCTGCCTGCTGGAGTCGTATCCGGTTGACCCACTTCAGGTCAGCTATCTTCCCACAAACTATCCGGGCCACGCCTGATGTGATGGCGATACACATGATCAAGATGTTGCCATCACTCTCAGGAAAAACATCTTTGACGTGTTTGATCTGGGCAGAAATGTTGACATGACAGAAATGGTGACATGACAGAAATGGTGACATGACAGAAATGTTGACACGACATGACAGAAATGGTGACATGACAGAAATGGTGACATGACAGAAATGTTGACACGACATGACAGAAATGTTGACACGACATGACAGAAATGTTGACACGACATGACAGAAATGGTGACATGACAGAAATGTTGACATGACAGAAATGGTGACATGACAGAAATGTTGACACGACATGACAGAAATGTTGACACGATATGACAGAAATGGTGACATGACAGAAATGGTGACATGACAGAAATGGTGACATGACAGAAATGGTGACATGACAGAAATGTTGACACGACATGACAGAAATGTTGACACGACATGACAGAAATGGTGACATGACAGAAATGGTGACATGACAGAAATGGTGACATGACAGAAATGTTGACATGACAGAAATGTTGACATGACAGAAATGGTGACATGACAGAAATGTTGACACGACATGACAGAAATGTTGACACGACATGACAGAAATGGTGACATGACAGAAATGTTGACATGACAGAAATGCTGACATGACAGAAATGGTGACATGACAGAAATGTTGACATGACATAAATGTTGACATGACATAAATGTTGACATGACAGAAATGTTGACATGACAGAAATGTTGACACGACATGACATAAATGTTGACATGGCATGACAGAAATGTTGACATGACATAAATGTTGACATGAAACGACAGAAATGTTGATATGGCATGATGGTTGATATCTTTATTGAGCTCCTTTCAAATAGTCAGTTTTATGGCACCAAACTAAATTTTAAAAAGATTGATAATTGCATGCACTTTTTTATTCAAAGGTATGCTATTTTAGAATCTTCATTTGCAAGGTTATTGTTATTCTTATAAATGTACGTGAAATAAGTGACTGAAGTTATTCTTATAAATGTACGTGAAATAAGTCACTGAACTTATTCTTATAAATGTACGTGAAGTAAGTCACTGAGGCTATTTGAACAAGCCTGTGATAAACTATGACCCCTGTACTTTGGTATAGATCTGTAGCAGCTGTAATATATGACATAACCTCTTCAACAGCTGACTTTAGATGCGACTGCTGATAAGAGCCAGAGGTATTCAGCTGACAGTCACTACATCATTCATGATTTTTTACAACACCTTGTTAAATACAGGTATTTCAAACAACATAAAGTTGGCAATAGAAAGCTGACATTGATACTGATCATACTACTAAAAACTGAGTAATGAAATACTCACCAGGTGAACGAATGGGACAAAATATCCAAACAAACATACACCACAGGATACAGCCCAAACAACATATCCCCGATTCCTCCAAATTCTGACGTTGAGGAACTTGCGAGTAAACTTGCAACATTCCGTGCACTGGCTCTGGATCATCTCAATGGACATGGTGGACAGGGCCACTTGAGACAGTCCCAGGTTTTCACGTGTGAAAATAGGTTTCCATGTGAAAGCGTACAAGTTAAGCAGGAAAGCTAGACAGGACATGAAGACCAGGGTGTACTTCAAGCCAATCTTGTCCAGCAGGTGGGGGAGGCCAAGGACCAAGGCGATGGTCACAGCTGACGAGCCAAACGTCACCAGCCCATTCACTAGGCCCATGTGTCTCTTGAAGTAATGGCCAAGAATAACCAACGACGGAGCATAAGCAAAAGCAAACCCTAGCCCTGCGATGACTCCGTAAGTCAGGTACAGCAGCATCAGCTCCTCCACAAAGGCGCTGGAGATGAGGCCGATGAAGGCGAGGACGCCGCCGATGATGCCTGTAGGTCGGATACCCACGCGGTCGCTGATGATACTGGAGATCATGCACATCAGGAATGTGATGCCAGTGTTTACAGAGCCCACCCACGCTGAGGAAAGAACAAAACTTTATCAGGAATGTGATGCCAGTGTTTACAGAGCCCACCCACGCTGAGGAAAGAACAAAACTTTATCAGGAATGTGATGCCAGTGTTTACAGAGCCCACCCACGCTGAGAAAAGAACAAAACTTTATCAGGAATGTGATGCCAGTGTTTACAGAGCCCACCCACACTGAGGAAAGAACAAAACTTTATCAGGAATGTGATGCCAGTGTTTACAGAGCCCACCCACACTGAGGAAAGAACAAAACTTTATCAGGAATGTGATGCCAGTGTTTACAGAGCCCACCCACACTGAGGAAAGAACAAAACTTTATCAGGAATGTGATGCCAGTGTTTACAGAGCCCACCCACGCTGAGAAAAGAACAAAACTTTATCAGGAATGTGATGCCAGTGTTTACAGAGCCCACCCACACTGAGGAAAGAACAAAACTTTATCAGGAATGTGATGCCAGTGTTTACAGAGCCCACCCACACTGAGGAAAGAACAAAACTTTATCAGGAATGTGATGCCAGTGTTTACAGAGCCCACCCACACTGAGGAAAGAACAAAACTTTATCAGGAATGTGATGCCAGTGTTTACAGAGCCCACCCACACTGAGGAAAGAACAAAACTTTATCAGGAATGTGATGCCAGTGTTTACAGAGCCCACCCACGCTGAGAAAAGAACAAACTTTATCAGGAATGTGATGCCAGTGTTTACAGAGCCCACCCACGCTGAGAAAAGAACAAAACTTTAGGAATGTGATTCATTTTTGTAAAAGTATTTTTTTAAATGAGACAAAATGAAACAGATGAAGAAGAAAATGATAGTAGGTCCACTAATAAACTTTATGTTACCTGTTTTAAAAGAAATGTTTGGGTCATCTTTAGCAAAGTGCTCCCTCATAGCTACGTACAAAATGCCGAAGCTGTTGATTATACCAAAAACTGTTCCATTGCAAGCCATGGATGTCAGACAGACAACCCAGCCCCACCCCCCGTCTGGCTGGACTGGGTGAGATTCATGGGGGAGGTCAGGGCTGGACTTTTTTTTGGTGGTCAGCGGGACCTCAAGGTGCTTTGTTTTCTCGGCAGACGACATCTTTTCTAGCTCACTATGACAGCAGTCTGGGGAAATGTTACAGACAGGTTAAACTCACACTTTTGTCATTTACAGAACAAACATAAACTTTTGTCATTTACAGACCAAACATAAACTTTTGTCATTTACAGACCAAACATAAACTTTTGAGGTTTACAGACCAAGCATAAACTTTTGTCATTTACAGACCAAACATAAACTTTTGTCAGTTACAGACAAAACAAACTTTTGACATTTACAGACCAAACATACACTTTTGTCATTTACAGACCAAACATACACTTTTGTCATTTACAGACCCAACAAAAACTTTTGACATTTACAGACCAAACATAAACTTTTGACATTTACAGACCAAACATAAACTTTTGTCATTTACAGACCAAACATAAACTTTTGACATTTACAGACCAAACATAAACTTTTGACATTTACAGACCAAACAAACTTTTGACATTTACAGACCAAGCATAAACTATTGACATTTACAGACCAAACATACACTTATGTCATTTACAGACCAAACATACAATTTTGTCATTTACAGACCAAACATAAACTTTTGACATTTACAGACCAAACATAAACTTTTGTCATTTACACATCAAACATGGACTTTTGTCAAAACATTAAACCATGACTGTAGGGGATCATGCATCAATTAAGTCAACCTTGGTATCCCACTCCCCCCCCCCACCTTCTGAAAAACAGACTCCCCACACAACCCCCTCCTTATAATGTTGTCAGACCTCAGCCTACAATCCCACCCCCACCCCCCTTCAAAAGGGCAGTTTTTATCTTTTAAAACACATTTCTTTAAAAAATATATACTGAGCTTGGTAAACATTGAGTAGGCTTAGTCTAAATTAATTTCTATTTTAATTGACAAAAACATTGTTTACAAACGCAAAATACCGGTTAAAATTAAGTTTCTAACATTACATTACATCCCACTTTTGGACCCCCCCCCCTTAAAACATGACACCCCTTATCCTTTGAGTGTGACGTAGTTTATAGGCGACCCCGACGTAGTTTGTTTAAAAAATAATAAAAAGTAGTGAATAAACATTGATTTTAAAAATGCCAACTAAGACCATCAGTTGTAATTAAAGTACGATTGGCTGAGATTTGAGCCAGCAAAACCTTGATGAAAACACGACTCACCTGTGGATGAAGTGTCTGAAGGACGGACCGTCCCACATGCCGTGGCGCTAACCTCTAACCAGGTGTAGGGCAGGTTAGGTGCTCCAACTTGTGATGTCAGGCTCAACAATCTCGAGCCAGAGATAATGGATATCTGCGCTGTATCAATGTTCTCGTCATGGCGATAATTTATTACACATCCACAGGCTCACATAGGCACTAATCAGGTCAGCTGTGTCGGACCCGCCTCAGGCCTAGCAGACGACATTGTAACGATAACATAAACGTGTAATATCTTGTTGTTGGAGGTGGCATCAAGTAAAGGGAAAAAAAAATCTGATACATCAAAGGAAGTTGTAATGTAATCACATTTTTTTTTAAACTTTTCAATGAAAAAAAAAAGCATTTGGTAGAAAAACTGATAGCTTACATTTTCACACTAGGCTAGCCACTAGCGTTAGTTTTTGTGTCACTTGTATCCTAGGTCATGTGGTCAGCCACAAATCTGTGGTCACGTGCACAGTTTGTTTCACGTGCAAGATACGGCGTCATTGTGTCGCCAATTTTAGACCAACCAACTAGATGTACATACTGAACTAGATCTAGTCTATAGGCCTCGAGGTCTAACTTTACGTCTGATTTCCTCTGCAAGTACAAACATGAGTCTTGTCAATAGAGATCTAATCATCTCTTTACTCAATTGTTTACCACTTATTAACTTTAAGACATGCTCGAAAAGTTACCGAATATGGTGAAGTTTAAAGGCGCTTATCTAGAACAACTACATTCTAGATCCAGTGTGTAAATATTATAAACCTTCGTTGATTAGCAAAAAACCGTGGTCAAGAGAAGACGGTTTTTTTTTGGCGAACCCATATCCCCCCCCCCCCCCGCACAAAATAACCATCAAAAATATAGGACTGCCGAAATTCAGTATATTCAAAAGTTAATGAGTAAAAGTAAAATGTCAAACTAGCGCCACAACTCGCTCATACATGACTTGACATGGAGGTTGGCTTAGCTTAAAACAAGCTTGGTTGAAAGCAGCCCTACACTTTGGTAACGTGCTAAGTGTGTTCTGAGTCATTTTTACCTCCCTGACCAATTGGTTGACCAGCAACAATCCACACCTCCCTGACCAATTGGTTGACCTGCGACAATCCACACCTCCCTGACCAATTGGTTGACCAGCAACAATCCACACCTCCCTGATAATTTTGGTTGACCTGCGACAATCCACACCTCCCTGACCAATTGGTTGACCTGCAACAATCCACACCTCCCTGACCAATTGGTTGACCTGCAACAATCCACACCTCCCTGACCAATTGGTGACCTGTGTCCGTTCATATCTCCCTGACCAATTGGACCAGCCACAATCCACACCTCCCTGATAATTTTGGTTGACCTGTGTCCATTCACACCTCCCTGACCAATTGGACCAGCGACAATCCAAACCTCCCTGACCAATTGGTTGACCAGCAACAATCCACACCTCCCTGATAATTTTGGTTGACCTTCGTCCGTTCATATCTCCTTGACCTAATAAGTTGACCAGCGTCTACCCATGTCTCTTTGTTATGCCAATAATTTATTCCAATGAGCTGTTACAACACAGCTAACAGGAACTGTGTACAAGCAGTCGTACAATTGTTTCATTTCTGTGACTGAATTAATAATTATATAACAGAGCAGTAATTCACAGAAGGCAATTTCTAGGACCAACATTTATTTGAATATATTTATCCAGAGAGTAAAATAGTGAGCACTGTACAAAATATTGTTTACTAAGTCTTGGTCTCTAGTCTAACACGCCTAATGTAAAAATCCTAGCTGATAACCAGTGTTGACTTCAGATACCTATCTCAGTCTCTACAACTGTTAGTGCTGACTTCAGATATCTCAGTCTCTACAACTGTTAGTGTTGACTTCAGATATCTCAGTCTCTACAACTGTTAGTGCTGACTTCAGATATCTCAGTCTCTACAACTGTTAGTGCTGACTTCAGATACCTATCTCAGTCTCTACAACTGTTAGTGTTGACTTCAGATATCTCAGTCTCTACAACTGTTAGTGCTGACTTCAGATACCTATCTCAGTCTCTACAACTGTTAGTGCTGACTTCAGATATCTCAGTCTCTACAACTGTTAGTGTTTATAATAGATTGACGATAGAAGCATGTGGTTGTATATAACGTTTATTGGGTCTAACTACATGAGGGTACCACACAGAGAGGACGGAAGGAAGTACAATGCACAAGGGACATCACTCAAGATAACAATATAAATATAATACTAATACAGAAGAGTGAGTTCCCTTGACCTCACAATTATCTCAATCTATTACATCCCTTTTCCCCTTAGAACACAATAACACATCTCTCAATAGAACAATTGATAGTATCCTAAAATCACCAATTATATTGTAACATGAACACTATGGTAGATTACATCCTTACAAACAATGCACAATATGCTACAACATAATCAAGATACAAAACAATGATGTCAAAGTCCTTTTGACCTTTAGAATCATAGGTCTAACTTATTTGGGACTTTGATTGTCCTGCTTGACCTTCTCAGTAGCTTTTGATTTGGTGACTCAATATTCTGACCATTTGGATTCTCTATCTCAGGAGGTCTAGGATTTAAATCATTAACTCCAGAATTTACATTTTCTGACTCTAGACAACTTGGTTCACTCATATCAACAGAACTTGGTTGTGGAACAAACTGAGTTGGTGTGAACTGATCAGATTTGGTGGGATTGACAGATTCACACTTATTGTCTGCACAAGTTATTTTTAACTGGTCTGCATGTCTACGGACAATAAGTCCATCATTTGTTTTTACTTTATAAGACACAGGTCCTGTACATTGAACTATTTGACCTGGTATCCATTTTTCCTTTCTCCCATAATTTCTTAGATACACATTATCATTAACTGCAAATTCTCTTTCTATGGATGATTTGTCATGATTTAATGGAACTATTTTTGAATTGGCATCTGAAAGTATTATGCTATTATTCAGATCCTTAATTGACATAGATTTCTTTGATTGATCAATTTTCTCAGGTAATCTGATAGTGCTTTCCTGGTAACCAAAAATACTGTTTACAAGTAATATCCTGGACCATATCACTTTGCAACTGTGATCCAGTATTTGAAGTGGGTGTATTAAATGGCAAAAATCTTTTTTTCTTTTGATGTTACCCTTTTAGTTTCTTTTAGTTTCTGTAAGTGCTAATGATGTTAGCAAATTTGTTTGATGATCACATTCTTTCTTATTTAAAGCATTTGAAATTGCCATATCACCATAATCATTTATTAAGTTACAAATACTTTGTTTAGGTAACTCTGACTGATAATGGACTGCATCTTCTCCATCTTTTATATTATCTTCACAAAGGGTTTTATTTCTTATTTAATATGGCCTTAAGTCATCATTCACAGACTCTTCAGGCCAACCATTCATACAGTGCTCATATACTTTTATTAAGCACTCATCTTTTTGTGTTTCTCTTTTAATATCATTCACATTTATATTGGAGTTATCCATGATAGTGAAGAGAACAAATACATCTTCTGGTACATAGCTCAGGCTTTGGTTTTTTAAAGGTAATCTACTAAGACTATCTGCACTATTCTCAGATCCAGGTTTGTATTTCAATTCATAATTGTATGCAGTTAGTGTGATAGCCCATCTTTGAATTCTTGGTGAGGCATGCTCAGGTAGGGTTTTGTTTTCTCCAAATAAACCTAGCAATGGTTTATGATCTGTAAAGATGGTGAACTTCCTACCAAACAGAAACTTATGAAATTTCTTAACACCAAAAATGATGCCTAAGCCTTCCCTATCTAACTGAGAATAATTTTTCTCAGCCTGGTTCAAAGATCTACTGGCAAAAGCAATGGGTCTGTCACCCTTCTCATCCATGTGGGACAAGACTGCTCCTACACCATCTGGTGAAGCATCACATGTTAATATAAGTCTTTTCCCTGGGTCATAGTGAGTTAGTAAGGTGTCAGAAGACAAAGCCTCTTTTGCTGTATTAAAAGCAGTATCTTGTTGTTTACCCCAGTGCCAAGTTGCATTTTTCTGTAGCAGCTTGTACAGTGGTGATAGTTTACCAGACAGATTTCCTATGAACTTTGCATAGTAATTTATCAAGCCCAAAAAAGCTCTTAGTTGTTGGGTATTTTCAGGTTTGGGTGCTTCTTTAATGGCTTTTGTTTTCTCAGGTTGAGGTCTGATGCCTTGTTTGCTTAATATATAACCAAGAAAACTAATTTCTGTCAACATGAATTGACATTTATCTTTGTTTATCTTTAAACCTTTTTCACCAACAATTTTCAATACTTTATCAAGTGTTTTAAGATGTTCAGTGTCATTCTTACCAGTTATGTACACATTGTCAAAGTACACACAAACATTTGGAATGTCCTTAAAAATACTGTCCATGACAGCTTGGAAAATTCCAGGGCTAGATGATATGCCAAAACATAGTCTTTCATATTGGTAGAGTCCTTTATGTGTGTTTATTGTCGTATAGACTTTTGAATCTGGATGCAGTTCTAGTTGAGTGTAAGCATGACTAAAGTCTAATTCAGTGAATTTGTCTCCTCCTGCCAAATTCAAAGAGATTTCCTCAATGTTAGGTATAGGGTACCTATTTAGCTCTATTTGCTTATTCAGTGTAGTTTTATAATCTCCACAAATTCTTATAGAACCATCCTTCTTTAACACTGGCACAATGGGCGACGCCCAATCGGAATAGTCTACCTTCTTTATGATGCCATTAGATTCCAATCTACTTAGCTCATTTTCAATTTTATTCCTCATTGCATAAGGTGGAACTCTAGCTTTGCAGTATCTTGGATTTGTGTCTTTAATGCTTAACTTCACTGTTCTATCATTTAGTAATCCAGAGTTACCAAAAACACATTTATTTTCAGATATAACTTTATCTAGTGAAGTAAGACTAGATTCTTTTACATTCTTCAATGAACAAATACTCTCCCAATTTAACTTAAGATCACTTAACCAGTTCCTACCTAGTAATGGTGGTCCATTTCCTTCAACCACAAGAAGAGGAAGTTTAACACTTTGACCATTATAACTTACATGAACCATACACTCTCCTATTACCGGAACATTGTCACCAGTGTATGTTGTTAGACACTTGTGACATGGCTGTAGAGACACTGATCCTCCTGTGACAGCGTCAAAATCTTTCTTTGTTATGACTGTTAGAGATGCTCCAGTGTCAAGTTGGAAGCTGATGCTCTTACCGTTGATATAAACTTGTACATTGATGGGAGCATGACTTATTGATTTCACAGAGAATAGGTTGAAATCCGGCTGCGAATCAGTTTGAGCATTTTCACAGGTAGAGTGGTTCATTGGTTGGGTTAGGTAGTCTTGGTGAGAGTTAACATAGTGCTGCCTTTGGTTGCGGTACTGTCTTGACTGGCTAGATTTAGCAACAGACGAAGACTTTGCAAAGCAGGCCTTGGCAATGTGACCTTGCTTACTGCACTTATAACAAGTTGCAGACTTGAACTTGCACCGATGAGATGCATGGGGACCTTTGCATCGATGACATTTTTGATAATTATTACTAGATTTAGATCTAGGATTTG